AAAGCAGACATTATCTGTGTCACCAAAAATTCCAAAGCATGACATTTTCTCTCCCCCAGAACATTTAACACCATAATAACCACAAGTGCTGTTTCTTGTGTACCCACAACAGCATTCTCACTGAGAGTCTCCTTAGAACATTGCCTCTCTTCCACGTGATTAAAGACTTTTGTTCTTTGCAAGGTGTATGTAACACAAATACATAGCTCTGGGTGGACAAGGTCACGTTCACATACCGCTGTACTTGGGCATAGAGCCAACTTGCCATATGCGCACTACGGTCCTTCACAGCCCTGGCGAAATCAGTAAAATGGGTTTGCACAAGCCAAACCCCTGCTTCCCAGGTAGCAAAGCAGATCTTCTTGCATTGCACAAGTAGCATAAAAACTAATCTTATCTAAACCACTTGTTTAGAAAGTCCATGAATTTTATGCATGTATTTCTCAATTCACTTCAAAAAGAAAAACCTGGACCAAAAGATAGCCAAGTGACGTGAAAAGACCAAAGTCAAGGGGAAAAGATACAGAGGTTGTTGTGAAGTCTCACATATCTATTCAAGTTGAAGAGCTCATTTGGCCCCAAGTTGGCTAGGAAAAAGGAAACGAGCAGTTCAATAGTGGTTCCCAACCTGAATGTGCCTAAGGATCCCTTGAAACTCTTTTAAATAATAATCTAGGGGAAGAGCCCAAGAATCTTAAATAATGAGATTTGCTCCACCAGCATCTCCAGGAGGGAAACCAACATGGCTGTGCTTTTTCAAAGCTCTCCAAGCGAATGTGGTCTTTCACTGCAGTAAAATATGAACACGACAGGAAAAAATAAATGAATAAAACATCAACTCTAATGGGCGGGCTCATACTCTTTCTTCCAAAGTAACTTCTCCCACAGAGTCCTCCGTTCAGAGGCAGCCGTGTTAACCCTTGTCTGTTCTTAGCCCTTCTAGTGCTATGTCCCCCAACTCTAATGGATATTCAGAGAAATAGTTGGCTTGCCAATTTTAGACATTAATGATTGACTCTCACTAGGAGAGAAGGCTAAACCTGCTTAAAATATCCTGCTTCCCAACCCCATCAACATTTGACAGGCAGATCAAAGTGTTATTTTTAGTATCGCTGTTGGTGATTTTCAAATATTAAATGATGTTTATGAAAAGTCTATTTCATGTTCTATTATTTGTTAAGAAATAATAATTTCTTAACAAATTATTTGCTCTTTGCTCTTCTCTGTGTAAAATTGTGCAGCCCCTACCTTTTCTTCCCATGTTCCTCCCCAATGTCCTACCCCCTCTCCACTCTACATTTCAGCACAGATCAATCTCTTTTAGACTATACTGAAATCTTTCAAGTGTTGTCTGTAGGTTGATTCTAAAATTGGAAAACCTAGTACACATTATAACTGCAGAACTATCATCTATTGCAGAACCAACAGGGTAGTACAGTTACATTTTCTTTCCTACTGGCTCCCTTTCAAGAAGCCCAGGCAAATCAAAGAATGCCCCCAACTTCCAGGCTGATCATCTTCTCTTTGCTTCAATTCCTTCTGCATAACATCTTCATAATCATGCCATATTATGGTTTGCTTTATAACTGTCTCAAGATATTCTTTGTACAATCTGGTTATTTTTAAGTATCGAATTGCCTTTTTAGTTTTTTGAAAGATGCCTTGTTACCTTCTCATTTATAACTTCTATTTTTGTATCATTTCTATGACATAGATTTCATTCTTTTCTTTATCTAGGGACCCACTGATTTCCAATTTTATTTTTGGTCATTTTCTTTTTTAGGCAGCTATGAGCCGGGAAATAATATCCAGTAAATTCTCCTGGGATATTGCCACTGTTTCTTTGATCACATGTTCTCTTCTTTTTTGATATTCACCCTTATTTTCCTTAAGTATGTCAAGTAATAGTGCCAAGGATACATAGAAAGTAAGTTCTGTAAATCCTTAAAGATCTGGAAAAAAATCTGTATTTTGCAATTCTTCTACACAAATAAAATTGAGGGTCTGAATGAAATGGATAGTAAAGATGTTATTTTCAATAAAAATAAGATACCAAATTTCTTCCTAACAATACAGAGCTTGTTGTCCATCAGTGATGAAGAAAATTGACAGATGTATTAAAGTAATATTGCCCAGTAAACCCCCATGTCCAAATGGATTCATAAGAACATTCTTTAACCATTCAAGGAAAAAAAACAGTTCTGATGCTCTGAACCAACCCAAGGCATGGGAAAAAGGGAAAACATCCAAATTATTTTTATAGGCCCAACATAACGTTAATACCCTAAACTTACAGACCACAAGACTGGAGAACTATAGATATATTTTTCAATATTATGATGCAAATGTTAATAAATCACTAGCAAATAAAAATCGGCTAAGTATTAAATAGAATATTCTAGCCAAGTGAGGTTCATCCCCAGGCCTTCAAAATAGAAAAATCTATTCATAAAATACATCATCTTCAAAGGTCAAAGACCCTTATTTTTTAATATCTCAATGAATATGGGAAAACATTTGACTACATTCAACATCCATTTTTGGTTAAATTTTATTTTAATAAAATAGAACTAAGTTATGTAATCTATAAATTATATATAAAGAAATAAATATATCAATATATATATACATAAAGAAAACACATACATACATTATATGATATAAATATTTATAAAATTATATATAATATACATGTCTATAAAATTACAGTATATATATATATATATAATATATGTCAGTATAACTAGATAAATAAAAAAAGCACATAAATATAATGGGGATATGAATATAAAATTATAGTTATTTTTATATGATCTCTTAAATACCTAAAAATCTCAGGGGAATCATCAGAAATTATTACAAATAAGAGATTTTAGTAATGCGTCAGTTGCAAAATTAATGATAAAATGATCATTTTTCTATATAGAAGTAAATATTAAAAATATAATGGAAGGAAACAAATGCTCTAAAGCAGGACTCAGCAAACTTTTTCGGTAAAGGGCCTGATGGTAAATAATTTAAGCTTTGCAGGTCACGTGGTCTGTGTGGCAATTACTTAACTCGAAGCAGCCATAGATGGTATGTAACTAAACAGGTATGGCTGTGTTCCAGTAAGTTTTATTTTAAAAAACAGGCAAACCCTGATCTAAAATAACAAGGCAATATTTATAAAATGCCCAGACACCTTACCCAGAAACACTGATGACCATTTAAAAGAAACTACAACTTCACTAAGGTGAAAAAGAAAACTTGGTGGGGCTCTTTTAGTGTCAGGTTCAGTATTATATGATGTCAAGTTTCCCAACTAATTTATAAATTTGATAAAATCCTTTCAAAATATCAACTAAGCTTCATCTAGAGCCCAACAAAGAAATGAAGAAATGATACGAAAGGGCAAATTAACAAAAAAGAACAATATACATAAAAAAAAGTTCTTTGTGGAAGTATAAATCAACAGGACCAGCTTGGGAGGCAGTTTGGGACATCTGTCAAATTTGTGAAAATATGATCCTTTTGACTCAATTGCCCTGCTAATATGTCTGCAGGTGTTCAGCCAGATATTTGTCCCGTCTGACTCTTCCAACCATATTCACGTCTGACATTATTTAAATGGCAGCATGGACATCTAGGCAGGCTATCAAAAACTATTTTATTTATTTTTATATTCATCCCTCTATTTTAAAAGCCTTCCTAAATGTTTTTGTTTTTGTTCTAATATCCAAGGGAACATCAGCATACTCTGGAAATAGTTTGGAATGTAACTTTTGGCCTTCTCTGAAATTGTGAAATATTTGAACTTCCTTTGCAATGAAAGCAAGTCATCGGATACACTAAATAAAGCCTACTACAATTAACGTGCTCAAAAAAATGATACACTGGCTACTAGAGCTATGTTGCTCAAATTATGCACTATTGGCCCTAGAGCACTCTACCCCCCGACCCCTCCCGTATTAATATACGTGTCCTGACAGGATATAAGAGGATCCATTTTAGATTAAGTTTGGGAACGTACATTATCCAAATTTACTTAATAAAAAAACAATTGTTTTCCTTCATGAATAGTTTGGGAAATACAGTCTTAGAAAAATTTAAAATTTTTACCAGGGATTCCTTGGGAAGATGGTCCTGAACTACATATACTATATGCATAGTTATTATTGTTGCCATTATTATTATTGTTATTTAAGTATTGCTGGGGGTCAAAATTGAGATAGATGTTTGTTTGCTTGCCCTTTGTTTATAAAAGCAGGGCAGTGGTGAGAAAAGGTACTTTCAACATTAACACTTCTTGAAATGTCACTCTGTATATATATTTCCATGAATTAAAAACTTAAATAAAATCTCCTAATTCTAAAGGGCAGAAAACCAGAAAGGTGATTAGAGCCAGGGGTGATGTCAGAGGACAAACAATAGCCATTTTGTGCAGACACCTTCTCCTACAATTTCTCAGGAAAAACAATAAAATAAAAAGATTTCTTCTGCAAACAGGTTCGTCTATTTGCCTTCTACCTGCTTTTTGCATAATGACGAAATGAGAAGATGGCATGTCTATCTCAGGAAATCGCAGCATTTCTGCGTATGGATTTTGGGGGAGCGTGTGGGGGGTTGGGGGACAGCGTACAATCCCTTGCCTGGTGAGCGCCAGCTGCCAGGGTAAAGCCTGCATGTTCTGACTCTCGGAACCTTCCCTCACACTTCTCTGCCTTTCGCACCATCACCTCTCTTCCGAGTACTTGCTCAGTCCCCCCCATCCACCGCTCCCCGTTTATTTTTTCAGAGTCTCTGAAAATGCAATGGAGAATAAAAATGTGGCGAGCCCTGCCGATAGCACCTATGCCCTCCAGTTCTAAGCTGACAGAAATGTCAAGAAACTGACAGTAAAATATGCGAAGCAAACACACACACACACACACACACACACACACACACACACACACACACACACACAAACCCTGCGAACAGGAGCCAACCCCAGATTGTTTGGCGCTTTCGCCACACTGTGTCACGGTTTTCAAACAGAAATCGCAGTGGTGGGATTTATTATCTCTAACGTCACTTGTTAAATTTGACACTATGCAAATGATTATATAAAGGGTACCAAAGGGGAAGCTAGGGAAGATGGAGTGAGGCGAGGCGGATGAGCGAACGGACAGATGGACTCCACAGAGTGCTAATGGAAGGACTTTCGGTGGAAGGAGGATTATTCCGCCTTTGTGGGTTTCTATAGGGTTTCTGTAGGAAGCAGGGCAAACGCATCATAACCACCACCTCTGCCTGCAATAAGTCCAGCAATATGGTTGAAAAGTTGAAATATACATTTATTTTATTGGCCAACCTGTGTCAGGTAGCCTAGTTAATTTCCCTGAATACTTTCAGTATTTATTCAATCTGATTCTAAATGGTTCAAAGCACACGGTATTCCTGAAATGAAAGAGAACTTTTGAGAAGTTGTGAATAACGGCTGTCACTGTTTTCAGAGCTCCTGATGGAGGCTGGGTGTTTCACATATTATGGAATTTAATCTGTACACCTGTCCTACAAGGTAAGTTTCTGCTGCTGTCTGTTTTTTGGGTTTTTTGTTTGTTTGTTTGTTTTCTGCATTTCTTTCATTGAAAGGAGAAAACTAACGCTTAGGGGAGAGTAATTTTCTTAAAATCAAAGTCTTTAGTTGACAAAACTGGGATTTCAAGCTATGATTGTCTGATCCCAGCTGGCCCTCTTGGATTCAAAGCCACCTCCCTGAGAGAAAACAAGCTCGTCCAAATACTTTAATAAATATACTTAAAAACTACCATTTTAAATGGCGCACACAACGCGGGGCACAGTATATGCAAGAGCTGTTGATATTCTGTATTTAAAAATTTGAAATTGCATTAACCTTTTTTACTTCTTTAACAAACTGAGATGCTCCGTAAATGTGCATTATTTCCTAATTCTTTAAATAGATTGAGAAACCAAGGCACATAAGAATGAAATGTCCTGTTTGTCTTAAACTAATAATAACCATAGTGCTCTTGTAAACATAGGGAGAAGTGTCCATGTAAAATGACTCCATCAAAGTGGAATTGGGTTCATCCCCTGAGATATCACATATCACGGATATGTGTATAATGGATGGTTTTAAAGTGAGTTGAGGTGCCCTCCTTAACTTGGGGTATGCACACAACTTAATTGCACATTAAGTTGGCAATACATGCCCTTAAAAAAAAAAAGGAGGAGAATTTAAAAAGAGGAGCAAGTGGGAAAGCACACAGGACTCAATTGCCCTTGAAATGTTCACGCAACATTTGCCACAAGCAATTAATCTGCACGCAGACGCAAGGGAGGCCCCCCGGAATCTTATGTGACTTAGTCCAGGCATCCAGCAGGTGACTGGCAAAGCCAGGGGACAACCCCAGGAGGTGTGATTTCCTGTCCTCTGCTGACCAACAACCTTCTCTCTCCTGACAGGCAGTGGGGCCATCTGCACACCTCCACTGTGATCACAGCTATAAAGAGAGCCATAAAATGGCCATTGGAATCCAAATGTCATATCAGTAGAAATGTCGATGGCCCATAACTGCTTCAGTGATAACCCCTTAATGCTCCAATGAGCCCCTGAGGGGAAGGGAGACATCCTCTCTCCTTCACGTTGGCCTCGGTGGGCTTGGGGCAAAGCCAGAACCTGCCATTGTCCATCAGCCCCTACCTCTCATGGCGGTCTTTCACACGTTATTATTACTTTAAAAGCGGATTGTGGGGGAGAAAAAATAACAGCTCTAATCCAATTTACATATGAATAGAAGAATATGGGCAGGTATTGGAAATGAACTTCTAGTTATAATAAGAGCCGCAGAACAAAGCCCACCTGATTAGGAGTCTTTGTGTGGCGTGACTCTGCTCTCACGGATTTGAGCTGTGGTTCAAAGTGTTCCCGAAAGGCTGTGACCAGGCTTCCCTGAAAACTTTTCAAAACATTATTTTTAGCAGTTCTCCTCTTTTCCTTGTTTAAATGATTCCAGTTTGCATGTTACGTAAATAGAAGGTATGTATTTATTTTGAGTGAGATTCGGATGCAAATAAACTTTTATTTTGGAGTTAAGCCTCTTCCATATTAATTTGGGCTGTCAGTGGGTGATGAACGGAAATGATATTTTCAACCAAATATAATGGAGATAATTGTTTATATTCTTCATATTGGTCACATCTTATCCCACCGAATGGTCTATATGGAGAGCAAATAAAAACAAAAACACAGGAAGGTTTTTTTATAGATCTCCCCTCAGAGGAAATCAATATATTTGTATTCCTGCCTACCCAGAAACCTGCACCCTTTGGTTTTTGGTTAGAAATAGAAAAATAATTTATAGTGAGAAACACTTTGTACCTTCATTTGCTATGTGTACCAGAAGCTAAATATAAATAATAGAAGACTGATTTACAATTAGTACAGGGAAGAAGTCCTATTGCTTACAAGAAATTCCAACACCATTTACAAATCTCAGCATTCTTTTACCCAAAATCTTGCATGCCTGATTTTGACCATGACTCTCACAGCAGGTTTACCACTGTTAATTTTCCCTCCACTATTTTCATTTCACCATCATTATTAAGTCACAGTCATTACAGAATCTGTTTCCCATTTCAAGTGCAGGATGTTGGACGTCTTGACAATATTATGGAAATGAAGATGTCTTTGAGGGGTCTCTCTCTTTTAAAACCATGTTCATAATTTTCATATTGCAAGAGTAACATTCTGCTTCTTTTGATTCATTATACCTAGCATATTACATAGTCTTAGCTGAGATTTACTAATCCTTTGAAAACATGTCTTAGAAAAATTCTCCTCTTTTCCTGATAGAGAATTCCTTCTTTTCCTTGGTAATGTATGTGGGGTGCGAGTAAGTGGAAATTGAAAATTGTATATATTGGGTGTTTAAGCATAGGCATATATTCACACAGGCTTATAGGAGGCCTGAAGGAAAAGTGAAATGATGAGGAGAAAAACTAAAAATGAAAATCTATTTCTTCCACTGGCTGTGTTTCCTTAAATAGTACGAACTAACCAGACATGCCATTATTTTAAGTTGATTTGAGCTATTTAGAAGTTAAGAATAAGCTCTGACTTTCTCTAGATAGGGTTTTGGATCCTGCCACCTGCTAACCATGGGATCTTGTGGAAGGTCCATCTCTCAAAGCTGTAGTTTCCTCTTGTATTAGGTGGAGATAGGCATAGTACTAATTCCTAAGTTTGTGTAAGCTCATAAATTGCTTACCTCCATCTAGCAGGATCTCATTGTGTGTCATATACCAATATTGTTCTTAGTAGTTACAGCAGTACTAATAGAGATAGTCTTGCACACACATACTCAGAAACTGTAAACAAATCCTAAGAAACTAGTCCAGTCCAACCCGGTCCCAGCAACCCAGGCTACAGCACTCATTAGTTCAGTAGGTGCCCTGTGTTTTTTGCCTCTTGCTCCATTCTCATATTATCCCTAACATCTATATATTTCATACCCTTTCATGGCTTTCTTTTCTGCTTTATTTAATCAGAGTCAATTTCTTCTGTTTGAACTGAAGGGACAACCGAGATACCATGATGCAGATGAGAAACCCCAGGTATGATTGCTATCTCTCTGAAATCACCTTCTTCTTCATATAGAGTTGATTCCAGGATGTACTGTCCCTTCAGTGGCAGGATACTATTCAAGCGATCTGAAATATTAGTTAATAGGTTTCAATGCATAGCTTGCATCCACTAGAAAAATATAACTGGCTGTGTCTTCATGAGAGCACCTCCTGGTCTATTCAGCCCAATGACCAGTCAAGTTCAGGGAACAAAATCAACTACATTGGTGGTTTAGCTGCCTTGAGTATTCACGCCAATCTAGAAGTATGATCCCTTGCACGTCTTTCATCACAGCTGTCTAGAGTCATGTCCCAGTACTGAATCTGGACAGATTACATTAAAAAATGATAGAGTTAATATTTAAAATTTCCTGTTTTAACCATTTTAAATACATGTGCTAAGAATTTCTATTGAAGATAAAATTTCAAAACTATATTAAAGGTATTTTTCTGCATATGTCTCTTATAAGTGCACTGAAATATTCCCATAGCATTGTTTTTCAATGCCCTAGGTTGTGTAATAAAGGGGAAATGGGATCTTTGAAGAAAGGTGAATCTTCCAAGTTCATCAGATTCTTTATCTCACCAATGAACAGAATTGTCCATGTCAGAAATTTGAAATGTGAATAATCTTCAGATGTTCTTTTATCTTTTTTAGCCTGCTCCCTAATTTGTCATTTCAAGAATGGATGTCCTAACTCTACTGAAGAAAGAGAACTTGCATAGCTTGTAAACTCAATGAGCCATTAAATAGGTGACAATAATCTTGATCGAAGTTTGGAATATTTAATTAGTGCAAAAAATACTCTTAGCCAGCGTGCTCAATTACTTCCACGGATACTCCCCAAAATATCAACCAACTATTTTGCATGTCTATGAAATGCTTTGGAAGACATTTAAGACTGAAAAAGGAGATAATATTTCATCTATTAATCGAGGACTTGACATGCTTGTACATGTCCAGTAATAAAGTTTCAAAGTGAATTTAGTTTAGATCCTTGAGACATTTTTAAAGGTGACATTTCTATCCTTAAGGCACTATTTGTTGCATGTATTTGTTCGTGTGGTTTGTCCCCACAATTTTTTAACAGATGCATACCACCGTAAGAGATAAATTATCACAATTTAATTATCTACTTTCATATTTTTGGGCAATTATGTTGCTTCAATTTTTCTCTCATAAATAGGAAATTTGTGTTGAAAATAGTTTGTTAGCATGTGTTTTTGAGTAAATCTTTGGGAGTTATAATTACTACATTGTTAAGTATGAAGATCTTTTAAAAAGAGATTTCACACATGTTTCTAGATTATGTAGTAATCCAAAAAGAAAATATCTTCTTAAAAATACAATGATTTGTACATACCAGTGGGGTATAACTTCAGGACAAAAACTGCATCAAAATTGCATTAAAAATGATGTGTTAACCCTTTCTATTAATCATAATTTTTGGTGGCCATGTTGGTATTGCTATTCTGAGACAGGTCTGGGAGTAATGGGGATAAAGAAAATAAGCGAGTGACATTCTAGTACTACCATTTTTAGTGACCTTGAGAATCAGAACTCTCAATATAAGGAAAATACAAGAGTTTAACTAAAAATTCTATAGGCTGAATTTGTAGTATAAACTCATGTGTATTTTTAATCCTAAAAAACATATTCTTCATTTGTCACTGAAAAGGCCTAGAAACATCCATCAATCCAGTAACGATGAGCATTCCTAGCCCCCACGTTATGTTCTTGAACGATAATTGTCCACTTAAAGGAACCAGTTCTCCTTGGAGAAATGGCTGATTCCACAACAGGGATGGGCACTAGACAAGACCATCCTAGGACATCTTGTCATATTAGATAATAAAGCAACTATGGAACACTACCCGAGTCAGGTCCAAGTGACTCGGGAGCCAATGTCAAAAGATTCCTTTTGCAAAAGATGAAGAAATGTGAGACTCATTAAGAATAACTGCAATAAATGTAAGCACATAAAATACGTTTGAATTTTTGACTTCATAATGATGCTTCATGAAGTTATTGTAACGACTAGATGGCTATCTTATTATTTAAAAATTGGTTAGTGAAGAGGATGAATTAAATATTTACACTGCCTTTCCTATAAAAACTATAGCACCAAGATAACCCAATATGAGATCAGGGGAAATAATTATTAATGGAGGTATTCCAGCTAATAAAAGAATAAGAAAATAACAGAATATCACCATAATGAATTTATGATTCTAGGTAGTAAGCATTATTGGCAGCTAATATTACAAAAGGATAGGTACTCAGATAGTATGTCGCTTCTGATGGCAGAATGGAAAATCTATTATAAAATAGTGTTGACCAGGAGAGGGAGGGAGGGAGGGAAGGAGAGAGAGAGAGAAATGAGAACTTGAATTTAGTTAATAATCCAGATCTAATCTCTAATTTACAGAAAATACAGAGAACAAAGTAACATGCTAAACTTCATCACAAGTATGCAATCAGAAAAATCCATATTTCTGGAAACCATAGTGATTTATCCTCAAATTTCATGGGGAAAAAAAGGAGAGAGAGAGAGACAGAGAGAGAGAGAGAGAAGTCTCAACCATTTTCAATGCATTACATTTTATTTTTTTTAATGGTTAAGAAATTTTGAAACTAGGATATTCAGGAAATAATTATAAATTTGAACACTACCTGAATATTTGATTATATTAAGGTATTATTTTAAAAATTACTTTAGACATGATAACTGTGTAATGGTTATGTTAAAACCATTCTTATCTGTTAAATATTCTTACTGAAATATTTATGGCTGAAATAATACAATGTGTGGGATTTGCTTCAAAATGGATTGGGAGGTGTAAATTCGGTGGGAGTGAGGATAGATCAGGGTAGGTCATTGATGATCTGTAAACCTGATTGGTGAGATAATATTTTGTCCACTTTTGGTGTTTGAAAAAAAATAGCAGTATAAACATTTCATTTAGTAATGTTAGATAAATCCAGAGGAAAAAGAAAAATGTGAGGGTGGATGCTTCTGGGAAGGGGAATGGGATAATAAGAAGTGTTGAGTCAAGATTTTTTATTATGTGCTGGTCAGTGTTATTTATTTATGAAAATATGTGCATATATTACTTTGTCAAAAATGTAAATAAATTTAATAAAAAATAAAATGTGTTATTTGAGTTACCAATTCTAACAGTTATCCTGAAGATCTTTCATAAGCAATAGAGTTTAACAAAATATCTGAAGTATATAAATGAGTTCACTAAAGCGTGGCTGAAAGAATACATACTTGAAAACCATTGGAATGGCCCTAACTAGGAGATTCATCTAACAGTATTCCAGCTTGTGGTTAAATATTGTGTAATATGCACTTATCTGGGAAAAGTTCAGTATATATTGGTGAATGAAAAAAATAAAGTCATTAAACAATAGAAAACAATATGTAACAGCATATAATGCTTTATTTTTGTTTTTTATAATGGTACTATTCTACAATAAATCTATCTACTTTCAAGATACTGCAAATTTTATTTTCTAGTATATATACTTTTAATTTGAGGTAGTGTCATGGTAACTATTCTTACCAGCGCTTTTAGCACTAGATTTTGAGCTCTCAGTGGGCAAGGATCATGCACATTTGATGTGCTATTTGGCACTTTATAAAGGTTTTATGCAAATACATATAAAATAATTTTAGTATATGCTTTGAAAAAAAATAGAGAAATGTGCTAACAATTGTTAAGAGAGACTATTAAAAACTTATGATTTTTATGTACATCTTTTCTCCCTTTTTATATCAGATTCATGTGTGTCTTATGTAGTCAGGGAAATAAAGGTAAAGAAGAAATAGAAATGGAAAATTACAAGACAAATCTTAAAATTATGCATAGCTTTCAGCACCATCTGGAACCAAACTATTTTCACCAATGTTCATTAAACCAATAATTTTTTCTTGACCAAAATGTGAGTAAAATGTGTAACTTCCTACAAAGTTACTTCTGGTTCCTTGGCAAATAGCAGCCTATTGCACAACTGAGGGCTTACTTATTTTTCTCCCCATATTATTATTTGCAGAACAAGGAGGAAGAAGTTTGTTGCTAAGTGGAAAGGAAATTCTGTCCTGCAGTTCTAAGAATGACTTTTATTTTGATGGATATTTTTTAATGAACCTAATTTATGTGAAGGTTGTTCTGTTAAAAGAAAAGTTCACAAAAATATCACGCATGATTGATCTCAAGACTGTGCCTCCATCCAAAGATAACACACAACAGCAGTCAAATATACATTTTATGGGCTTTTGTCTGTTTTGCAATAACACCGGAAAACATTCTTTAATTAAAATTTAAAACCGTAACTGATTAATTTTCTGTGTAAACAATCCGTGTAAACATGGAATGTCAGCATTTTAAGGCTGTGCGAGTATAAATTTTGCTTTTCCTTGAACAGGCATTGTGGGAAGGGCTTCGGCACAAGCAAAAGGGGATAAGGGTTTAGAGCCCTAGAATGTTTTGTAACCCCACTCCTGTTTGCTTGGCTGAGGCCCATCAGGGCTAAGAAAAATGTCCCATGTTGTGTGATAGGGTTGGCATGAGCCAGTTGTCACTCACTCCATAGCTTCTTATTTACTAGTTGCAAATGGCCAAAGGGTTCCAAAACCCCCTGTTCAGTAGCTGGACCTGCTGCTGCCTCATTGGTATCCCAAGGGAGACGCCCTCAGGAATTTGGCCACTGACATAGCTGTGCCTAATTTAGACTGAGTTCTCCCATTTGGTTTTTGTTGTTCAACATAATCCCTAATTTTTACAGGAGCCAGAAAGCAACCTCACTTCTCCTCAGCAACTTAATGATTTTTTTAAATTTTTTTCTTGTTCGTCCTTAAAAACAGAGGGGAGTTTTTAAAATGTTACTTAAAATACTCTTAAATGACTTTTCAAGGAAACATGGAAATATGTTGCCAGGAAAAATGGGGGAGTGTGTTCAAAGTAAAAACCTAAAAATCTTTTAGACATTTGAAAAAATGTCTAAAAACTTGACATAAAAATGCTCATAATCAAGTTATTTTTATTAGAAGTTGATGGTCTTGCCATAATAAATTACGCTGACCTTTGTTCTTCTAGAATCTAGAAAAATATCCAGAATTAAAGTTCTTAAGCTTGTCTAGGTGACCAACTTGGGTTTGCATTTCCAATACTGTTCAGTTCTTTCGGCTGCCCTTCAAACCCTTGGCTAACTCCAGTCCACCATGATAAATATCCACCGTGGGGTAAGGAGGGGTGTAACGCCATTCAAAGTAAATACTTTCACACTTCTGAAACTTGACTCATTCCCAATGAACGCATTTCACTTTGATTATGCACTGAAACTTTTAAAACATTTCCATACTAATTAATCATATTATTGTTACCACAGAAAGCAGAAGAAATGTGAAGAAACTTCCCTCAAGTCAAAGAAACTTCAACCTTGTACTCTGTTTCCCATATTGGCACACCCTTTAAACTGTGCATGTGTCTGTGAAGGGATTTACTAATTAATTCGTCCATATCATGCAATTGCAAAGTGTTGACTAAATGCCTAATTTAATAATTTACATCCTAAATGGTAGAGAAGATAAAAATTTTGTATCTCCTTCATACAGGACATGGAGACCAAAAGCGCCTCAATAAGCTCTATCTACAAATAGTAAAGAAAGCACATTTAAAGAATACCCTACTGGAAGCGACCTGCACATGTCATCTCATGTAATTTCAATGCTGCCATGCCCTCATGAGACAGGGGAATTGAGATTCTATGAGGCTAGGGAATGTGGCCTGGGACGCAAAGGCAAGATGTTCAGGGTCAGGGTTTCAGGATGTAACCTGAACTGAAGTGAAGCCTGAGGAAGTTCTCGCTGCCTTGGGGATGACGGACTCACTCAGGCAAAGGGATAGCGTGGGTCTTGATCCAAATCGAGAGGAAATCAGAACTTGGACCTTCTGGTAAGAGACAGAAAAAGCAGCAACACAGGAAGTTAGATCGCAAGGTGTGATTAGGGGTCATTTTGTTGAGGGTGAAGGAGTGTGGATGACGTACAGATGGGGACACACTGGACGATGACATTCCTGGGTGTGCTCCAGCGCCTAAGTCATCTTGGTTTCCCTTTCCAAGGCTCCCTAAGCCTTGGGCATTTGGGCCTAGAGGCCATCCTTTGCGATTTCCTTTGTAAGCTGCTTATGAGAAGCACACCTTCATTGCTTTTATTCACAAATCTGTAGGTCTGTCTCAGCGGAGAAGGTGGACTGACTTTTAGGAAAGCAGCCAGGAATGAGAGATGGGATCTGATATCTAAGCATCCAGGCCTTTCATTGACATAAAATAAAGCACACATCCAAATGCCTAAAACGCCTACTAACTCTTTTTCTATTAAACCAGAAGCATATCGGCATGTTCTGCAATTCTTCCACCAATGTGTGCACTGCCCGCCATGACCACTGTTTCTTGGTCATGCATCACTGCAACCAAACAAAACGACATTAAATCCCACCCTGTGCCTTGTTCCTACGTCGAACACTAACGGGTTCCTAATTAGAATCCAACTTCTCTAACACGCAAGGTGCTAGCAATAACATTGAAATTACTGTTCTGACAATGCACTTGGGGATCTTGCCGGGGGGCATGGCCGCCTTCGAATGACATGGCAACTCGTTTCCAGAAAGTCATTCATTCCACAAGCCGGTTTGAAACTCATCTCTCCCAAAAGGCAGTGGAGAGCATCATGGCTATGTCCATTTTTCAGATAAGGCAATGGGCTGCATGGAGATCCTAGAAGCCTAATCTCCAAGAGTCCAGCCATGAGTCCTCATTAAGACGTCTGGAATCGCTAGAATACACACATGGATTCGGCCCGGGGCAAGTGGTCCGCATGCCTCAAAGCAGAGGACCGGAAGCGCTCAGCTTTTTTTCAAGGAGGTGATATCCTATGAAGTTGGACCGATCAGGCTTTTTACTCCTGGCGCCCCCATTTTCCAGGCATGTGACCTAAGATAAATCACAGCTTCCTCAACTGTAAAATTAGAAAGCGCAATAGTACCTGCTGCACAGAGTTTCGAGGATTAAACAAAAGAATGCAGATAAAGTGTTTCAACACCGCGATGGGCATATTTACGACTCAGTAAAGGTTAGCCACGGCTCGCCTCAGCACTGGGATTATTCATCCCCAAATTCCTGAGACACTTTTGTCTTTCTAAACTCGTATCTTCAGCAGCGTGCACAGCGCCTTGAACACCACTGACAGCCCCCTCCCACCCCAAATAAATGCTGGTGGAATTAATATGTTCTCTATTAAATTCTTGAACCATGGGAGAAGCACCGAAAAAT